TAGTTATCAGTCACTGTCAACCCTTGTGGAGTGGGAGAGACGCAGATACTCCATTGTCAATCTTTACACTAGCATGAGGGTCACAGACTCAGGTGTCTATGGTAGCCAAGTAGATAATTAGATGGAAAATGGTTCCAATGGGCACTAGAGGTCAGAAAGCAGAAGAACACAGCTAAGACTCTGGTCCAGCCATATTTTTTCGCAAGAGTTTGACTATGCCACCAGATCTCTAGGACTTGTATTTTGCTTTTTAAAGAGAAATAAGTGATCCAGGACTCTATACATTACATTACCTGGAGAACACAGTATGCTGATGCAAACTCATGACAAATTTTGAATGGATAGACTTTCTAAAGATGGGGTCAGGTCAGGTACAATTAGACAGGGAGCCTGATACTGGAGCAATATAAAAATTAGTGCAGCTGTTACAAGTCTTCTCCATATGTGCCATACAGTAGAGATAAACATAAGGAGGGATCAGGAGAGAAGAGAAGATTCAAAAATACCCAAATAAACTTCTCTGTAGGTGATATAAAGACTGAAATGAAATGGACACCATACGAGATTAGCAGCACATTAGACACTGAAAAAATTATTAGATAAAATTAGTGAAGAGCAATAAAAACTGTTTAAAATAAACAGAGGTCAAAAAGACTAAAAAAAGAGAAGCAGAGCACTGAAATGTGGCACAGTATCAAATGATGTAATGTATATGTTAGTTGGATCCCGGAAGTGGTGGGAATAGAAAAGGTGCCTCAGAAAAGAGCAGCTGCAACTTTTAAAGTATAACGGAGACTACAAGCCTGCAGCTGTAAAAAGGCCTGGCAAAACTGAGAAGTGGGAACATGAGGAAAACTGCGTCAAAGCATATCATGACCAAGTTGCCAAAAACTAGTGATAAAGCAAAAATGTTAAAAGTAGTCAGAGGAAAACAGACCCATATATAGGGAAGGGCAAAATTAGGAAATGGTAGCAGAACTCTCGCTGAGATCAATGCAAGTCAATTGACAGTGGGGGACGTTTTTAAACATGGTGGTGGAACAGGCTGACCAGGTTCCAGGAGATGGACCCACACCCAAGGGCATCTAGGAAACAAAAATTAGACTTGATAAGCCCTAAAAAAAAAAAAAAAAAAAAAAAAAAAAAGAGGACATGAAGTGAAGGGGAGGATGGGAGGTGGGAGGTGGGGTGGATCTGAGAGGAGAAGGGGGAGGGTTCTTAGAGATGAGGTCTGAGGATGTTCAAAATACATTGCATGAAATCCTCAAAGAATCAATAAGTATATTCTTTACAAAAAACATTGAGGAGGCTGGAAAGATGGTTCAGAAGTTAAGAGCATTGGCTGCTTTTGCAAAGGACTTGGGTTTGGTTCCCAGGACCCACTTGGTGGATATCAACCATTTGTAACTCCAGTTCCAGAGGATCTGATCCCCCTCTTCTGGCCTTCACAGGCATTGCATGTGCAAGTGCACTTACATACATGCAGGCAGAGCACTCATACACATAAAATAAAAATAAATAAATAAATACATATCTACCTTTAAAAAAACATTGGGATGGAGAGAAAAGCAAGGACTCTGTCTACGTAGTATTATATGCCAAGCAAAACTATCACCTTAAAATGAAGGTGAAGTAGGAACTGTATTAGACAAAAATAGATACTCACTAGTAAGCCAGAAAAAAATGTGAAAGAAATCTACTAAGGTAGAAGAAAAATGTCATCAATGGGATATTCAGATTCACAAAAGAAAATGAAAAGTTTGTAAAATGGGTAAAAATAGAGAAAACTTTCTATCACCTTAACCACTTGAAAAGACAATTTATCTAAATGTTGAAACAAGAATAATCTATCACAAACCGAGTTATGTATCTACAAATAAGATGTATATCATCAATAGTACAGGGAAGTGGAAATTGCTTCATTAACATGATCTTATGTGAAATGGCATGTATTTGAAGGGAGCCTGTGATAAGTTACAGTTAATGGACATTGCTAAAAGTAAAAATTCAGGACTGGAGAGATGCCTCAGTGGTTAAGAGCACTGGCTGCTCTTGCAGAGGACCCAGGTTCAATTCCCAGCACCCACATGGTGGCTAACAACAGTCTGTAACTCCATTTTTAGGGGATCTGACACCCTCCTCTGAACCCCTTGGGCATTGAACAACATGGGTGCACTTACATACATGCAGGCGACACACTCATACACATAAAATAAAATTAAAATTAAAAAATAAAAATACGCCGGGCATGGTAGCACACGCCTTCAATCCTAGCACTCGGGAGGCAGAAGCAGACGGATCTCTGTGAGTTCAAGGCCAGCCTGGTCTACATAGTGAGTTCCAGGACAGCTGGGGCTACAGGGAGACCCTGACAGCATTTAAGCCATTAGTAAAGATTTTTTAAAAATCATTAATAATAGTTAATCTAAAAGAAAGAAGAGAGAAAATAGTAAAGGCCAAATGGGAAATTAGAAAACAGACATCAGGGTGGTATTCTTAAGTCGAACTATGTCATGAGTTATATAAATGAAAACAGTGCTGCAACTAAGGACTGACGGGCTGGGGAGATGGTTGACAGTAAAATGTTTGTAGTACATGAGGACCCGAGTTTAGTCGCTAGAATCCATGTTAAAATAAATAGATAAGTAAAAACTGGATGTGGTGGTGACATGTTTGTAATCCCAGCACCAGGGATGGGGAGAAAGACAGATCCCTAGGGCTTGCTGGCCTGCAAGCCTAGCTAGTGAGTTCCAGGCCTGGGAGATACCCTGTCTCAAAAAGCAAAGTAGACAATGCCTGAGGAACAATTGAAGTTGACCTCTGACTTCCACATACATGTGCATGTACATGCTCACAGGTCAAATACAAGTACACACACACACACACACACACACACATACACACACACACGCACTCACACACACACACAAGATGTAAATCGAAAGATTAGGTAGAAAGTGATGTCAAGCTGTATATGATATTCAAGACATCCTACAGGCTCCTGGGACCCTTCTCATACAAACCTACAGCAATGGTATCAGCATGCACAAGAACCAAGCAGCCTCAAGCAGACAAAAACCCAGCACAGAACAGTGGAAATGGGCAGTAGGCCCTAATCTTAGCTGAAGAACTATTGGCAGCTGGGTTACTGCTGGGTAAGGAAGAGCTGATAAGACCTCAGTGGATGAATTTTCACTGAGGGACATCTGGGGACACTAACTTGACACAATAGGCCTTAACACAAATGAAAGAATGCATTAATTCCAGTTGGGGGGCACTATGGGAGGGTGCCAGTGGTGAATGAGTACAAAGATGATTAAGATATTCTATATAAAATACAAAAAATTCAATTAAAAATTTACAGAAACAGGGGATCCAACAGCCTTTTCTGACCTCCACGGGCATTGCACAACACAGGTGTACTTACCTACATGCAGGCAATACACGCATATGCATAAAATAAAAATAATAAAATTTAAAAAATGTGAAATATACAAAAATTTACAGCATTCTAACTATCCCTGATTAAATACAAGGGGATATATAATGTATCATCTCATTTATATGACATCATAGCAAAGCAAAGATGTAATGAAAGAAAACAGGTGAGCGGTTGCTCAGGCCTGAGAGAGGCCAGTGATCACAGGGGGCATATGAGGAAACCTGGAGTAAAGGAACCAGTCTCCACCTTCACTGTAAAACTGTATGCATTTGCTAAAAGTCAGAAAGTATTAAATTTAAATCTGGTGAACTTTTTTGTATGGAAATTAAACAACAATGAAGATAACAGGTGGGATGTAAAGGGAGAAAGGAAGGAGAGAGGCAGGGGGTAGACGAGACAGAGAGAGAAAGGAAGAAGGAAACAAAAAGGAACAGAGTTGTCTTGGTGACACATTGTTGTAATCCTAGCATCTAGGAGGCTGAGCGGGGATTGTTAGCTTGAGACCATACTGGGCCGCACGGCAAGAGCTTACCTAAAAAAGGGGGAAGGAAAGGTAGGGGTAAAACCAAGAGCTTCTCTTTTCCAAATGGTGATCACTTCAGGAAAAACGGTTTGCACTAGCCCTTTGTTCATCCTGTAAAACATTTCAGACTTGATTCTCTACAATCTGATGGTTTTACTAAACAAAGATAACTTCATCCCAAAGAGAAACCTTGGCATCTGCTGATAATATTGGAACTTTCACCTAATTAACAGAGGAATGCCTCTAGCAAGGGGAACCACCAGCCTCTCTTGACTGCCCAGGACGTTGACCTCTCTTTTTACAGGTCTTACGCCACTTCTACCACATTTTCCCTTTTCAAATGCTGGAAGCCCCACTCAACCCTCTAAACTCCTTTTAATCTTGAGAATCTCACTTCCTCCTTCAAAAAGGGAACCAATTTCTACATCTCCCATCTTCTGCTGCAGGGAAAACAGAAGATGCATAGGACACCAAGGAGTCTTTGCACAAAAGATGGGAGAGAACTCGAACAAATCCATTTCCTACGCACAACAACTAGACACCAAGACTCTGGGGGAAAGTTTAGAATAATCAGATGGCAAAGTGCAACTAAGAGACAAAATAGGGCTGAGGGCAACTGCAGTTTGAAAAAAAGATGATATTTTCAGAGCAATATAGAAACAGCTCCACAAGTACTCACACCCTATGCTAACAGGCTTGACTCATTAAGGACCATAGAGAAAGCACACCCGTTCTCAGATTCTGAGACATATTATTTGAGTCTCTAATTATATATAAATGGTTGTTACAATATCTTAGAAAACTACCTTATTAAACCTTAACTAATTTTTACTAGTAACAATATTCTTCAGATCATCATGATATTAAGTAGATGTGGGTGTAGAAGTAGATATAGTAAATCTTTATGATTATGAAAGGACACTGTAGAAAGGCAAGCAATCTTCAGAGAGCTCATCTCAGGTTCCCCACACTGGAGAGTGATGGAAAGGCAGGGCTGAGGATCTCCAGATGCCTTTGTGACTGTTGCTTCTCCAGGTGCTTCCTATCCTGACTACACATTCCCGGTGGAGAGGATGGATGACGCTGTGGCTCCAGGCAGAGAGTATACTTACGAGTGGGTCATTAGCGAAGACAGTGGACCCACACCTGATGACCCTCCATGTCTCACCCACATCTACTACTCCTATGAAAACCTGACCCAGGACTTCAACTCGGGGCTGATTGGACCTCTGCTTATCTGTAAGAGAGGTAAAAGCAGTAACACAAGATTCACCTGCAGCAAAGATGCTGGGTGGTTGAGAGTGCTCTAATGAGGTGAGGCTTTGGAGAACCTTGATACTTTCTTGTCTGTCAGGCAGGAGGAGGGTGGAGAACAGGTCACTGGTAAGAGAAAACACTACCTGATATTTGAGGTTTCCCAACTCTTCTAAATCTTCCTTCATCCCAGTCATGGGAATATCTTCCAAGTAAACGCCTGTTTGAAAGTCTATTCTGATGTCAGGCCTGCGTGTTTATATGACTTGTAACAGTACCTCAAAGCCAAGGTCTATTTACTTAAAAGTGTATAGCAGGGGATGGAGAGATGGCTCAGCAGTTAAGAGCATGTGCTGTTCTTACAGAGGACCTGGGTTCAAATCCCAGCATCCACATGGCAGCTAACAACGGTCTGTAACTCCAGTTCTAAGGAATCCAATGCCCTCTTCTGCCTTCTGTGGGCACTGAAGAACACACATGCAGGCATAATACTCATACACATAAAATAAAAATAAATGAGTCAAAAACAAATTGTTTAAATGTATAGCACCCTACTCTATTGAGAGAACTCCTGGAAAGGATGTTGGTTAATGCATCTGACAACGCTGAGGTTGGCTTGGTGCTTTGGTTTATAAGCACAATTCCAGCCTTCTTTTTCTGTTGTTGTTTTTTATTTGTTTGTTTGGTTAGTTGGATTTTTTAGAAAGAGTTTCGCTCTTTAGCTGGCCTCAAACCCCTAGTAATGCTTCTGCCTCAGCCTCACAAGTGCTGGAATTAGAAGTATGAGCTACCATTCCAAACTCAGCTTGCTTTCTTTTCTTTTGGGTGATAAGTTTCTAATGTAGTCAACCAACTTTCTAAGGAATTTCATTAGCTATGTTTCTTAGAAATAGGCTTAGCTTTACCTCTTACTCTAAGATAATTCAACCCATTGTTCATTAAAAAAATCAAAGAATCACAACAAACAGTGCCACGGGAATAATGTTATAGGCTGTCTGTACTCTGTACACATACACAAATCATACCTGCATATATTCCCAGTTTGTTTATTCATCATACAAATATATTTTATCAGTACCTGGCATGTAAAACAGCATGATCACACTGAAAAAAAATGTTAAACCTATAAGAGGCGTTTTCATTTTATCATGACTTTTCCTCATATCAGAATGGATTTACGCTGATACTCAGAACTAATTCTCTAGTTGAGTATCCCATATGTGTACAAATGAGAAAGTTGAGTTAAACATGAGGTGATGTGCTATACCACCTGAGGTGCATATGTGTTGGTCTAGGAAGACTGGAGAAAATGGATGTTTTGTTGTTGATATTGTTGTTTGACTTTTTTGAGGCAGATCTTACTGTGAGAATAATAAACTAGCCTTGAACTTATTATGTAACCAAGGCTAGACTCAAACTCATGATCCTCCTGCCTCAACCACCTGAGTTCTGGGACTACAGGCATCTATCATGAAATCTGGCTGGAAATGAATGCTTTTACTGAGTCTAGATTGTCATCAAACGCTTGCTTTCTGTGTCAGGCAAATTTTACCTTTAAAACTCTGTTCCCTAAGTCTACAAGGTGCCAAAAAATAATATGGCACCACAAATTTAATAACCTCCATCTATTATTGCTTGAGAAAGGTGATACTCTTACAAAGAAGAACTCTCTCAAGTTTATATCAGTGACTGGTTTCTTGCCCTAAGCTCTGCTATCTTAGAAAGCTAATGAGAGTCTGAAATGTTATTGAAAGCATTTTCCCTCCTCAGGTACCCTAAGTGACGATGGGACACAGAAGATGTTTGACAGGCAACATGTGCTAATGTTTGCTGTATTTGATGAAAGCAAGAGCTGGAGCCAGTCCTCATCCCTGATGTACACAGTCAATGGCTTTGTGAATAGGACAATGCCAGGTAGCACAGGAGTCCCACACCATTCAACAGTGATAGGATCACTAGGAGCCTTGGTTCCACTGTTTCTTTAAGACATTAGGGAAGTTTTCCATGCTCTCTGTTTTCCCACGTTTAGTGAGAAAGTAACAAGCTAGTGCTATGATTCAATGCTTCTCAAGATTTTAGCATCATTTTTTTAAAGCCAGGAAGTACAAAGATACATTAGAAATGAATTAAGAGCCTTGTTTGCTTCAGGCTCTAAGATATACTGTTCTGAGCCTCTTAACTTCTTCTGAAGTTCAAGGTCACTCTAGTGGGAATACTCATCAGAAAGAATGAAATAAAGATATTTGAAGTAAAGCTGAATAGGAGAAATTGCTACTGTGCAGATGTACAATTTGCATTTCAAAAGTCTATGGATGAGCAATCTTCATGTAGAAGGCTTTCTCTTCCAATCTGCAGATAGACTTTTACAAGAAAGTAAAATCATAGCAACTCTAAGGTGGGAAAAAAAAAACCTAATTTCTATGACAGTAGTCAGTTTTCTGTTGCCTTAACAAAATACTCAAAGCTGAATACTTTGAAAAGAGTTTTTTTTTTAAAGTCAGGTTTAGAAATAGGACAGCCAAGATTGAGCAGCTTTATCAGCTCAGCCTCTGGTGAGGGACCCCTTGTCTATGTCACAATACGGCAGAAAAGGAGAAAGGAAAGTAGCTGCATGCCGGAGAGGCCAAGAACATGAATGGCCTTGATGTATAATGACTCACTATTGTGAGAACTAACCAAGGTCCCATGAGGACTCCATCAGTGCCGACAGCAACGCCTCCAGATCTAACAACCTGAGTTCAGTCCCTGAGGCCCACAGGAGAGAAGGTCAGGTTGTCCTCTGACCTCTATATCTGGCATTCACCCCCCCCACACACACACATATGCACATTAACACAAAATAAATAAATGTAAAAGAATTTAGTAATAATAAATGTCTGAAGAGTCATTCTCTGTGTATGAATACCACTAATGGATTCACTTACAGAGAAACAAACATTGTCAAGAGTTGAAGTCTGTTTTGGTTTTGGTTTTGGTTTTGGGGGAGGTTTTGAGGGGGTTGTTTTTGTTTTGGGGGTGTTGTTTTTTGGTTTTTGGTTTTTTCTTTTTCTTTTTCTTTTTTTTTGGAGACAGGGTCTCCCTATAGCCTCAGCTGGCCTGGAACTCACTATGTAGACCAGGCTGGCCTTGAATTCATAGAGATCACCTGCCTCTGCCTCCTGAGTGCTGGGATTAAAGGTGTGTATCACCATGCCAGGAACAAAGGTCTGATATTTCTTTAAATTTTTATTGTTTCATTTGACTCCAATTTCTGCCTGAATTATTAAAAATACATTCATGCTACTATGGGCATTGATTCTGAGTTCCAAAATCAGGATCTTGCAAAGCTGAGCCTTAATAAAACTAATCTCTCCCTTGGGAGATCTGAATTCAAAATTCATTCACTTTGCCACCTCTGTGTTCCCATTAACAATTAGTAGTCTCAATATGCTTAGTTCCAAAAATGGAGTAACCAACTATCCTATTATCTGTACCCTGACAGGGTAAGTAATCTAATGCATGTGATACATGAAAGCAAAATAAGTGGACAACATACACAAAACATAAATATAGCTTGATCAGGGCAGAGAAATTATCAGTTTGTAGTTGAAAAAATAATAATTTGGGACAAAAGAGCCAGGAAAGGGGAAGAAACATTATTAATAGACAAAAAATACTTGCCCTTGTAAACCTCCCAGTCCTGTGAAATAGTAACTGAATAAATACGTATCATCTTATTTACTGTAGATGTGCTGGATTCCACTTGAGCTTTTCTTTTGAAGTGGATGAGTGTTCCCACTGAAACACACCTGCTAGCTACCCTGCAGCTTCTTGATGCAATGCCCTCTTACAAAGGACTAATGCCTCTATGAGCAAGAAACCAATTCCCAGAGCATTCTCTGGTATCTGGTGATAACTATAAATCTGAAATTTGACATATAAGCCAAGATTAAAATCTCCCAAAGAGTAATTGAGCATTTTTCCACTCACTATGAGAGCAAAGAAACAGCAAGATTAGACTTTTTTTCCATCAGTTTTTGTTAACTCTGTCCATGAAAAGCTGTCAGTGGACAACAAAATGAGGACACGTCCACTACCTTTTAAGGAGAACCAATAACCCACAGAGTAATCCATTGCCTTCTTACTGAAGTAATCAAAAAGGAGGATTAAGAAGCAATAGGAAATCCCTCAAAGCATCTTCGTGCTTTGTTCCACATTGACAGAACATGAATCCTCATCTAGGTGAGAGGATTAGGTCCTTTGATTTACCCTACTGGAGGTTCTGATTACTTCTTCCAACTGAAGCCAGACTGATAGGAACAACCACTCTATTTTTTTTCCAGAACTTTATCAGTTATTACATTGTGAAGCCCCTCAATCCTAGGTAAATCAGGATAATTTCCACATACTTAGTTCCCAACTTAGTCCCTTAGCGATCTCTGTATTTCCAAGTCAATGTCCCGCATTTCTAAGCTCTGTTCTACTTCTATATTGTTATTTGATTTAATGAGTTGTGACTCCTTTTACCCATCACTGTGGTATCTGCTGTGCAGAACAAAAACTGGAGTACCTGTGTCCCTGAACTTTATACACCACCTGTGGGCAGCAAGTGCTCAGTAGGTATTTGATGGGTGAGATTTTTGATTATAGAATACTAAACCAGTGTTGCCTCTCTTTGTCAGACATCACAGTCTGTGCCCATGACCACATCAGCTGGCATCTGATTGGAATGAGCTCAGGGCCAGAACTGTTCTCCATTCACTTCAGTGGCCAAGTCCTGGAACAGAACCATCACAAGGTTTCAGCCATCACCCTGGTCAGTGCCACGTCCACTACTGCGAACATGACTGTGAGCCCAGAGGGAAAGTGGATCATAGCTTCTCTCACCCCAAAACATTTCCAAGGCAAGAAACTTTTCTGATCATCTTGTGTGGAATGCTGCATCCTTTGTGCTTTCTCCTCTGCCCTTTCAATCAACCCTGCCCAAACATACATGTCCTGGTTCCTAACAAAAGCATTAGATACTCTGCTCTTAGACTCAAAGCCCACTGCTTGCAGGTGAAGGAAGTTGAGGTATTGACAGTGATGCAGCAAAAATTGAAGAGCTCTCTACTTCCACAAAAGAAAGAGGAAGAAAACAAATGCTTGTGCAAATGTAGTCTTTCTTGAGTGTATTTCATAGTTAGCCAAAGGAAAGGGCCTAGAGACTAGACTTAACAAAACAAGCACTCAGAAATTTACAGGAATACCAAGTTACTGAGACCGATGAGGCCAAACATGAGAACATGATTCTGTACAATGAGATGATCACAAAGCCTGCCACAGAAAGGAACTCCGTCAGTGTGTGTTGAGTGGATCATAAATAATATCTGTTTGTTTTGTTGAGACAGGATCTCACCCTGTATCCCAGACTAGCCTGGAACTCACTATGCATCCTGGGCTCACCTAGAACTCATAGTAACCCTCCTGTCTCAGCCTCCCCAGTGCTGGGATTATAGGCCCTAGCTACCACACCAACTAGGGGTGAATTATAAAAACAAAACATCAGTTAAGTGTTATGTGGTGCTACATAAATAAAGTAACTAATTGTTCAGAAGTCACATGTTTTGGTTTTAGACTGTTGTGAGGAACATTCGTATTTATAAAGACTGAAATATAAGCAAATCATATAATCATAGAAAATAATTTGTTACCAAAGTGTGTATAAGTGCTCAAGGAATAAATATTTTATGAGATCATTTTGTTTTCATGCTGGGAAATCAATATTGCATGGAATTACTAAAATATCACTGGAATATAGAGTTGGTAATAGCACTAAAACTGAAATTAAACAAAATTTAATAAGACAAATGCTATTATGAATTATTTAATTTTAATGATTATATTAAATATATACTATTGCTGTCTTCATTTTACAGAAGGACAAATAGCAAGAAAAAAACCTAAAATATAGGGCTTTCTTGTTTGCATTTATTTAACTGCTTGTTTATTTGGGGAGTAGGTGTGTGCATATGTGTATATGTGTAGTGTGCATACTAAGGATCAAACCCAGGCATCTATATGGCAAATATACACTTTATCACTGAATTAAAACCCTAGTCAGAGGGTTTTAAGGATCTTCCTGCCCCAGAAGAAACATAGGGAACCTTTCCAACTTTTTCCTCTAGCTCTTCCTTTTCCTCTGCTTTTTATTTTTACCCAGTTCTGTGACCCACTGAAAGAGTTTCAAACTAAATGGCCAAAAGTTGTTGGAAGCATTGCTTTTGCTATTATTATTTAAGTCTTCCACAAATTGATATTTTAAGAAAAGCATTTTGATAATATTTTTCTCTTAAATTCTATTACCGTCTTTATATCCTAATCCAGCTGGGATGCAGGTTTACATTGACATTAAAAATTGCCCAAAGAAAACCAGGAATACTAAAATACTAACTCGAGAACAGAGGCGGCACATAAAGAGGTGGGAGTATTTCATTGCTGCAGAGGAAGTCATTTGGGACTACGCACCTGTAATACCACTGAATATGGACAAGTGAGTCTCTGGGGGTCGCACCACCATGCAGAGATTTGAAACATGTTTCATAGGGTCCTTAATGTGGGGAGATGACATATGATGTCATGAATGGCCAGCTCACAAGGGACTGGTACTGGTATTGGTTTCCACTAAGCTTTCTTGTCCTAATCAATATTTAATACCCAAAACTCACCATGGTAATATGGTCTAATGATAATAATAAATAATAATATTAATAATAATAATAAATAACAGCAACAACAGCAGCTAGAACTTGTTAATGCTTACTACTGACAACCATTGCTATAGATCTTTACTAAGGACCTCATGTCAACTCTACAAGTTAGGTACTACTCTTCTGCTCTCATAGTTGAGGGAAGGTACCAAGGGAGATTAAGAAAGTTGGAACATCTAGTAGGTCTTCAACATTTCATTCACAATAAGAAAAATGAAAATTAGACTTCACTGGAATATTATTTTGTATCCATTAGACTCACAAGTTCGTATTACCCCATTTGTTTCCAAGGCTGCAGGAAATAAGATGTATCACACATTCTGCTGGCCTAATGTGCTGGTAAGGCCATTCTATGGAATAACCTGACAAAATATGCCAAAATTATTAGAGCATATACTCTTTATACAAGAAAATTTTCTCTGGGAATTTAGTGTATAGAATATTCTTGTTTACAGGTAAATGTCTGTATGAGCAGATGCTTACTACTGCACCGTTACTAGTAGTAAAAGATTAGAAACAACTCAAAACATCCATCACTAGGAAGCTAGCTACAGCACATCCATGCAGTGGAATGCTATGAATCCAAAACCAAGGTACAGACATTCCCTACCGGAGTAGCTGCTTCTAATCAGTTACCTGTGACTTAATCAGTGGTAGAGAAGATGACAAGCTTGCTAGTTTTCAGCTAGATAAAAGACACTGGGTCTTTGCACACTGTGTTAAGGATGTTTGGAGTACTAGCCTTTGGGCTAATCTGGAAGCAGAACTTGCATGCACCAGGCTTTCCCCATGATGCTGGGTCTCTACCTCAGGAAGTGCTTTAACCTTCATTTTATTATTTCATTTGACTTTAAGAAAATACAGGTCTATGCACTTGGATAACTTCTCAAACCAAATTGGGAAGCATTATAAGAAAGTTATTTACAGACAATATGAAGAGGAAACCTTCACCAAACGCACAGAGAATCCCAGTATCAAAGAAAATGGGATTCTGGGCCCTATTATCAGAGCCCAAGTCAGGGACACACTCAAGGTAAGTAACAGAATTAAACAGTAAAAGACAGATCCAGCAATTGACAGTTCTTAGTATTTTTAATGTATTTATGTTTTTAAATGCGCACATAGTTTTTAGTTTTATTTGGTATTTCATTCAATTAGAGCCTACTTAATAATACAACGGGTCCAGGGTAGATTATTAAATTAAGAAGGAATAAAACAGAGTCAGTGTCAGAGAAGGAATAAATAGTAATGAGAACAAAGAACATGAAGCCACAAATGAGATAATGAAGTACCTGCCACACAATCCCAAGGCCATCTGAAAATTCTGTTCTAAATTTTATAGCAGACACATAATACCTGAACAAGATTTACACATCCATGAACGTAGCACAGCTTTCCTGAGACAGAGACCTAGGAGGGATCACTTGCCTGGAGTTCACAAATCAGGGTGCTGTGTGATACAACAGACAGCGTCCTTGACAAAACATCTGCAACTGTTACAAGAGCTGACCAACTTTTTAAAATAATGTTTCTATTGTTTGTGTGAACATTTGAACCAGCGCAGTTGAGAGAAAAACACTTCACAGTGTGGTCTGAGAATGTGGCTTTCTAATGGTTGGTCTCAAAAGTTAAGTTTAGGTATGTTTTGGGAGCCTTTGTCAGACAAGGTGACTCAGTGAGTAATGGTATTTGACATAAGGCCCGATGACTTGAGTTTGATCCCCTCTTGGTAGAAGAAAAGAATCAAATTCCACAAATTGTCTTCTGACTTCTACAGGAATTCTGTGACATGTATACACACACACAACACACACACACACACACACACATACACACACACTAAATAAATAAATAAATAAATATAATAAAGTTTAAAAAGGACCTTGAGTTTTCCTCAACTTACTTGAATGTTACATCACTGACACAGACACTGAAAAGCAGAGAGATTACAATCTTTGTCAAGACCCTAGAATGTAGACAATCTGTAAATTAAGGATGATTCAAAGACTTGAGCACCAAGCCAAGTAGAAGACAAGATTAGGTTACCTTTTGAAGCTTAAAGAGTTTAATCAAGACACCCCAGAAAAAAAGCCATTTTGTTCATTTGGAAATAATGAAAGGACAAAGCGTCGTCTGTGATTCTTCCTCTTTCTTCGTTCTTCGGTTTCACTTAGGTGCTTTAGGTTTAAGAATAAAAATAACATACTTGGAATTCAAGATCTGTCCATTTGTGCTCTTCAAGAAGATGATGTCAGTGACAACGATCTTAGGAAATTTGGCAAGGGGAGAAGAGGGTTGCGATCTAGAGATGAAAAGGAGCAGATGTGGTCCAAACTGAAAGAAGGGAAGGGATGTGGGCACCAGTGAGGAAAGGGTGATACACAGGGAGGAAAATGCAGTTTCTCCCAGCCCATCCCCTAAGGACAGACCTCTATTTTCCATCCTTGTGTATGCGTGAAACCCTCCCAAAGGCTCCTTCCTGCCTGGTAATGGGGGAAGTTGCTGCCTGAATAAACAGAACTGACTTTTCCCCCCACGTGCATACACACTGTAGGTGTACATATGCATGTATGCAAAGCATACATACATGCACACACACATGAGGTAAATGTGCAAAACTACCATCCTTTATTAGTTAAATATTGAAACAATAAATCTGATTTAACTTTGTAGATCGTATTCAAAAATATGGCCAGCCGACCCTATAGCATTTACCCTCACGGAGTGACCTTCTCTCCTTACGAAGATGGAGTTAACTCTTCTTCCACCTCAGGTGGGAATCCTTCACCTCTATGGCAAGAAACTCATGACCTCAGAGAGGCTTCCATATGCTCCTACTGTCCTCTTTACCTCATGGTATAATAGTGCAATAGATAGTTCTCACCCAGGAATATCCTGAAAAGTCACAGGCAAAACCTTCTCACTTTAGTGGTTACCTTTATTAGTGAACCACTACATGCTATCTGTAGTCAAGCATATTTAATGTAAAAAGATGTAGAAAATAAGTCACTATGGAGTGGCCAACCCCAATGGACACATTTAAAATGTAACCCTTACACCCAAGGCTCAGGGAACATTGGAGAAAATGGGGCAGAAAAATTGTGAGAGCCAGAGGACCAGGGCACCTGCTGTTAGTGTCTTCCAGACATAACAGGGAAGCCGCACCCATGAGAGCTCCACAATATGGTTAAACAGGACCTACGTAATGACAAGACTAACTGACATGCCAACGTGGATGGGGAATATTCCACAAGGCCGTACTTCTAGATGAAGAGCTACCAACAGTCAACAGATGTTGAGGGAGGGAGACTCGGTTTTCTCCAGGGACAAACTCCCAGATGGGTTATCCAATCCCAAGTGGTCAGCCCTCAACCTATATACATAAGAACAACACCAAATGTGTGTGTGTGTGTGTGTGTGTGTGTGTGTGTATGTGTGTAACAATGGTTAAAGAAGAGATCAGGAATTTGAGAGAGAGCGGGATTGGGGAATGTGGGAGGAATTAGACGGGGAAGAGGAAGGGGTAGAAATGGTATGCACTCAGATATGAAATTTTCAAAAAAAATTAAAGAAAAAGGAATGCTTCTTTCCTCATCATAATTACTCCTAGTGTGAGCTAAGGTAGCTATTTATTCTCATGAAGTATTATTCCAAATGAAAACAATCTAGTATATTTTCTTTCAGGCAGTCACACCATGATTAGACCAGTTCAACCAGGGGAAACCTACACTTATAAGTGGAATATCCTCGAATTTGATGAGCCCACAGAAAATGACGCCCAGTGCTTAGCAAGACCATACTACAGTGATGTGGACATTACCAGAGACCTTGCCTCTGGGTTGATAGGACTGCTTCTGATTTGTAAGAGCAGATCCCTGGACCAGAGAGGCATACAGGTATTCTATTTTTAAAGTAACTTTAAGAAACACTTTGGAAAGACTGGAGAAATGGCTCAGTGGTTAAGAGCACTGGATGCTCTTGCAGAGGACCTGGGTTTGGTTCTCGGCATTCACACGGTGGCTAACAACAGTTGCTAACTCCAGTTCCAAGGGATCTAATGCCCTCTTCTGGCCTCCGTGGCCATTGCACAGATGGGTGCACTTACAAACCTGTAGGCAAAACACTTACACACATAAAATAAAAATAATTAAAAAATTATAAAAAGGAACTCTGGGGATTTCTTCTAGCTGGAACAGATGAGATGCTGAATAACAGGGCTTTTCCTTCTAGATAATTCTAACTATCAGATAATCATCTTTCAGCACCGGTGTGGTAACATTTATTGTTTCTGTTAAACATTGTTGTTTTGTCTGTTTTCACCTGGACTCTCACTACAGAAACCAAGTTCAGTGTGATGCTGCACTTTGTTTTAGATTCAAGTTCCAGGTATTAACCGTGTGATGAAGAAGCCGTTCAGCTGCTTTTAATGTCTTCCTTTGGTCAAATGGGTAATAATATCCATTCTGAATTTTTTTACAAGATGGCTTAGGGGCTCAGTGTTAACTTGATACCAATCTTTGTTGTTTTCAGAGGCATGCAATAGTGAGAAGGAGGAGAGAACATCTGAATACAAGCACATTTGGAGGCAGCTTCTAGTGAAATGGAAGCAGTCAGTGCCTTTCTTTGGTGAGACTAAATGAGACCAAAGAACGGGAACGAAGACACCAGTTTTCTGAGTTTACCATTTTCCTTTTTGAGATAGAGTTTCTCATGTAGCCTAGCCAAACTCATTATGATCCTGAACATCTTTTTTATTTTTTAATATTTTGTTATTTTTATTTCGTGTATATGAATGTTTTGCCAGCATATATGTAAGTGTACCACATGTGTGAAATGCCCTGCAGAGACCAGAAGAGGGCATCAGATCCCTGGAATTGGAGTTATGGATGGTTGTTAGCCACCATATGGGTGGCTCTCGCCACAGAAAACTCCGGTCCCCTGGAAGAAAAGCAAATGTTCTTAACAGCTGAGCCATCTCTCTAGCCTCATGACCTTGAACTTCTGATCCTCCTGCCTCTACCTCCAGAGTGCTCAGATTAGAGACCTGGGCCACAATACCCAGTTTTTGCAGTGCTGGGGATTGAGCCCAGAGCTTTATGCATGCTAGCCAAGCACTCTACCAATGGAACAGTGACCATATCGCCATCCTGAGTTTATCTTGGTTGAAGATGAGAAGTTTCATATTATTCCCTTGAAATTCCCATTAGGATAAGTAATAATCAAAGAGGTCTTATCCAAACACAAAATTCTGACTTATTGAAGTAGTATAGGAAATAGGGAAGGTGGACTGGCCAGCTTCCCTCCTGCAAGTTTCTGCTTATCCTTGGCAACTATTTGGAACACACTTGGTCACTGATTTTGAAAGATGCTCAGTTACAGAGATAAACTGACTTCCAGGTGTTGTGTCCAAATGGATATTTTTCCCTTGGGGTATTTTAGTCTGAATTCTCTGCTCTGTTGTGTTTACTTGGGCATATTGGCTTTATGTCTGGTGAGCGCTAGGTATATAATGGGCTTTCATAGGTGCCTGACCTGTGACTTCTCTGACCTCAGGGACAATGGGGAAACAGGTAACCAGCTGGAGCTTTAATCACTGAATGCAGCCCTTTCACCCTCCAGAGGGCAGCAGACATTGAGCAGCAGGCTGTGTTTGCAGTCTTTGATGAGAACAAGAGCTGGTACATTGAGGACAACATCAACAAATTTTGTGAAAATCCTGATGAGGTGAAACGTGACGACCCCAAGTTTTATCAATCAAACATCATGAGCAGTAAGCCAGAGTACCATTTTTATCCATCTTTTTCACTCTTGGGATTGAAGTGTGTCTACACCTAAAGGCAAAAATATAATGAGAATACATACTCTACTGAGCAGCTCTCTCAGATCACTTCTGATACAAGGACATGGTGATGAATTCCCTGGGTGACAATATTGCAACCAACGCATGTTGTCTTTTAAGAAAAGGATCAAAGCCTGGTGATTCAAAGAATCACCTTGCTCTCCTGTTCCCAAGGGGGCAGGGGGTATGGGTACGCATTCTCTGGGCAGTAAGGAAGACTGGGAGGGTGGGAGGCTGGGAGGGAAGGCAATGCAGGCTTAGATCAGTGGTACCTTAGGATTTCAGAACGGTGAAGGACAAATACTTTTTAGGTGAAGCCAGGACAGAAACAATATTTTTTATAAAGCTGCATTGTCAAATAAAGTAAAGCAAAATAAATCTGGAGACCCTATAGTCTTGGAAGGGCAATGAATAAGGAGGTTTGAAGTGAGTTACAAAAAGTTCAGAGCAAAGGGATTCTCTGAGCCACAGTTCAGCACTTGCCACAGTTCCAAAGTTCATTGTCATGAGAAGTCTGAGAGGGCTCTCACTGAAGCATCCTCAAGCAAACTTTTCCCCAACAACCAGCATCCCTTCCTCTGGTCCTCAAAGCCTCCCCAATCACCTTTTCTAAGAAATAATCACGTCTATGCAGATGGGTTCCCCAGAGTCTGTTCTTGTAACTTTGGAACTGATAGGTGTCACCTCCAGCTTTCTTCACACAATTTTATTTTAGCGATAAATCTGAGCTAGTTCTAGACCAGTGCTGCTAAGCAGAAGTTACATATGAATCACATATATAATTTAAATTTTTTCTGGTAGCCACATTAAAAAGTAAAGAGAAATTATTTTTGATAATGTTTTACTCAGTTCAGTATATTCTAGATATTATGATTTCAAAATGTAACAGAAAATTAATGAAGTTTGCTTTTTCAGTGACATCTGTTCTTACTCGTGGCTGCTGTGTCAGGAAAATGAATTTCTTATATTTAGGTTTTCATCCAGATAGAATTATTCTGGATGATATTCTAAATTGATTTTCAGGATATCTTTACAGGCAGAGCATAGAATACAAAATATCTAATATACCCCTGACTAATGAATGAATAAGTCATTGTGAATGAAAGGCTTTGTTCTGATACCTTATCCTGATATTTCTCCCTTGGCTAACTTTGAAGAATAAGCTGTTACTTGGGAAGTTGAATTTGTCTTCTTCACATGTTAGACCTGATAAAACATCCTGGAAAATCACTGATTTGACGCAATCAAGTGAACACTGGGACATTTGTCTTGGGTATAATTAGACATATGCCTTGTGTTGCACAGGCTTGGCATTTTGACAGATTTCACTCTTTCAGCTATCAATGGCTACGTGCCTGAGAGTATAGCCACTTTAGGATTCTGTTTTGATGACACTGTCCAGTGGCACTTCTGCACAGTGGGAACCCATGATGATATTTTGACCATCCACTTCACTGGACACTCATTCATCTATGGAAAGAGACATGAGGACACTCTGACTCTGTTCCCCATGCATGGCGAGTCTGTGACTGTTACAATGGATAACATTGGTGAGTAAGAGCATGGATACTTGGGGAGGAAGCCAACCAAGTCTCAGAAAAGGTCTTCTGTGGTTCTCTAAACAATGGCAGCTCCTGCTATGTCTCCCTGACCCTGTAGCCTTGCCTTTCCCTGCTTCTTATGGTTTCTATTTGGGAAATGAATGACTTAAATAGAGCCAGTCCTTTCATGCTGGTTTCACGTGCACATCTTCAGGACAAGTGGGAAGTAAAGATATACCACAGCAGAAAGACAGGTGTAAACTTGAGGAAGTAACACAAAGATTTCAGTCATGAAAGTACGCTTATTTTTATCAGAACCATTTCAAGTTGTGTGTTTGTGTGTGTATGCGCGTGTTTGTTTGTGTACACGTGTGTTCATGTGTGTGCCTGCATTTGTGTGTGTGTGCTCATGTGGAGGCAAGAGGACAACCTCACGAGTCATTCCTCTGGTGCTCTCCGCTTTTTTTTGAGACAGTGTCTCTCATTGGCATGGAACTTGCCAAGTAGGCTAGGATGACTGACCAGTGGACCTCAGGGACCCAGATATCCTCCTTCCCAGTGCAAGTATTATAAGCATGGGGCACCACATATGGCTTTTTAAATGTGGATTCTGGGGGTCAAACTCAGGACCTTGTGCTTGCTGAGCTATCTCTCCATTCCCCCTTTTTAACCTCTTATTAGAGACCATCCCACCCTCATGTAAGCAATCATTAGTTAGGCCTTGGAGACTGTCTCAGAGGCAGTTGGTGTGTTAGACCCAAATTCAAATCCTGATCTGCCACTCAATCTCTTATAACTTTGGATAGGTTAACTCACTAACCCTCATCTGAAAGGCATAACAGCACTTAACAAAATTGTTTTAACCATTATCTGTAATAGTGCCAAGTGCCTGGCACTCAAGTGCTCACTCTGGACTTCCACACAACCTTAGTGCATCAGTAATTCACATTCAGAGTCACTCAAACTGCCCTACCCTGCATAAATTATTTCTGAGAAATGCTTAAATATTTCTTATTTGTGGGAGGAAGACCTCATCATAATTCTCCCAATTCTAACTCTTAAACAACATGTGAAACTAACAAGACAGTAATGTATTCAAAGTCCACTTTACCTTTCATGTCCTTTTCCTAAATATCTGAGTAACTTTTAAACAATCTATAATGAAAGACTGTTTTTCTCCTTAATCACCACTGATCATGATCAGTACTTCTATTCTAAATTCTGCTATACAATAGAAGTACACTGATCATGTGGTTGGATGTCAAAACAGTGTCCAGTTACATCTTAGAGAACCCTAAACGCCTTACTCTTAGTTTCTTTCCTTATGTCATTGTGGCTCAGTAATTAATAGTTCATTAATAGCAATGGTTCAGATATGATACTAGGCTAATTCTAAAATTCACTAGAACTATTTGCCACAACAGATCTTTGTGTTCTTATATCCTTTCCTGGGCTTTCAGCCTTCTCTTCTCTGTGTCTCTTTTGAAGGAACTTGGATGTTAACTACCATGAATTCCAGCCCAAGAAGCAAAAACCTGAGACTGAGATTCAGGGATGTTAAATGCATCCCCAACGATGATGATGAAGATTCATATGAGATTTATGAACCTCTAGCAGCACCTACAGCCATGACTACATGGAAAATGAGCGAGTCTTCAGAAAATGAGCAAGAAGAAGATGATCCTGATTATGATTACCAGTACACATTGGCTTCATCATTAGGAATTAGGTCATTCAGAAATGCATCACTGAATCAGGAGGAAGATGAGTTCAATCTTACTGCCCTCGCCCTGGAGAATAGCTCTAGAGAAGAGTTTATTTCTCCAAGTACAGATATTGTCATTGGCTCAAAATCTTCTTCTCTAAGAAACCTTAGTAAGCTCGTTGATAGTAACCTCAAAGAACCTCAAAAAACCCTTCTTCACTCAGGAAGCACCACCACTAGTACCCTGCTAGAACACCTCACTGGCTTAGACAAGAACTCATCTCTGAACCCTTCAATAGAAGAACATTCAAGTCCATATTCTGAAAATCATATGGAGGATCCACAGTCAGATATCATAGGGATAAGCCTGCTTCCTCCTGGTGCAAAAGGATTGACAAATCATGATCAAGTTAAGCATGCACTATCCGAGGCACAAGAACACCAAGTAGTGAAGCATAGGTTCTCCTGGATGAAAGGACCAGCCCGTAAAACTGGGAAGCATTCAAGACCAAAGAGCACTTCCAGAATGGGGCTCTCGGAGGACAGTCCCAGTGTCCTGTTACTCCTGAAACAAAATAATCCATCCAAGATTTTGAATAGGGAATGGCATTTGGCTAATGAAAAGGGGAGTTATGAAATAACACAAGATAATGGTAAAGACGTGGCTTTTAAGAAACTGCTAGACAGTCCTCAAAATCAAAACATCTCAATGATTCAGGGAGATAGTATCCCTGCTACAAACAAAACAGGAAAGCCAATTGACCTCCCTAATTATTCTGCAGTTAGACACAAAGCTCTTCAAGTTAGACAGGATGAGGAAAATAAACACTTGAAGAAAAGACCATTTTTCATCAGGACACGAAAAAAGAAGAAGGATAAGAAGCATGCTCATCACAGTCCTCTATCTCCAAGGGGCTTTCACCCCCTGAGAAGAGATGCCCACCCCATGTTTTTAGACCGGAAAGTTAATCACACACTGTTACTCCATAAGCCCAATGGAACAGCTCTCGCCACAGACCTGAATCAGACTTTCCCTTCTATGAATATTGACAAGGAAATTTCATTACTTGACCATAAGCAGAGCCCTCCACATAACACTGGGCAGATGCGCTCCCCTATAGGTCTTGATCAGTCAGTGCTCCCAGAGGAACACTCTCCAAAACTTCCTGTTCAAGACTCTAATCAAACACAGTCTACTATAGGCTCCAGTCACAGATCCTCTCCTCCAGAGCCCAGCCAGGTACCTGATTATGACCTACGCTATGAATACCACCTTGTTGACACGGCTCAAGCATCCCCTCCTTGGGAACATGAAGTCTGGGGAACTTCATTTCCAGACCAAAGTCAACCATCTCTCTCTTCAGACCACAGCCAGACAGCCTCCTCCCCAGACCTGGGTCAGATGCCCCTTTCCCCAGACCACAGCCAGACAACTTCCTCCCCAGACCTGGGTCAGATGCCCCTTTCCCCAGACCACAGCCAGACAACTTCCTCCCCAGACCTGGGTCAGATGCCCCTTTCCCCAGACCAGAGCCAGACAACTTCCTCCCCAGACCTGGGTCAGATGCCCCTTTCCCCAGACCATAGTCAAACAACCTCCTCACCAGACTTGGGTCAGATATCCTTTTCCCCAGACCATAGCCAGATGACCCCCTCCCCAGACCTCAGCCTCTTGACCCTCTCTCCAGAAACTGATCAGACAATCCTTTCCCCAGACCTGGATCAGATGCTCCTTTTCCCAGATGACAATGAGATGACCCTCTCCCCAGACCTCAGCCTCTTGGCCCTGTCTCCAGAATTTGATGAGATAATTCTTTCTCCAGACCTCAGCCAGGTGACTCTCTCTCCAGACCTCATCCCAGAAACTCCTCTTCTTAATCACGGGCAAATGTCACCCCCTCCAGAGCCTGGTCAGATACCCTATCCTTCAGACTCTGTTCAATCTTCACCTCTTCCAGAATTAAGTCGTATTTCCCCCTCTCCAGACCTCATTCACATGCCATCTCCTTCACCATCTCCTACACATAATGAAAAGAAATTAAATCCTCTTGTTATAGTAGGCCTCAGTAGAGTTGATGGAGACGACATTGAGATTATTCCAAGGGAGGAAGTGGAAAGCACTGAAGATGACTACGCTGAAGATGATTACGTGGCCTATAATGACCCCTACCAAACTGATACGAGGACAGACATCAGCTCCTCCAGAAATCCTGACAACATTGCAGCATGGTACCTCCGAAGCCACGATGGAAACAGGAAATATTATTATATTGCTGCTGAAGAAATATCCTGGGATTATTCAAAATTTGCACACAGGTTTGGCTAGTTTTCTCTTTTTATATTCTCATTTTTCTACTGCTGTTGTGAAAAACACACCTACAACAGCTCCAGGGAAACAATTTTGAGTAAATTATAAACAGTATAACCTGGTTCTCCTGTTTCAACCTGGCCTGTGATATTTCCTTTGTCAATTTCGATATTAGCTTCTATGCTTTAGATGACACCTGGGGAAAAGATGAGTAATCACTATGGGAAATCTGCGGTGTCTACAGTGAATGCGGTCTCCTATCTCATCTCCTCTCCCCACTTACGTTCTTGGACCCTTTCCTTGTACTAATGCACACCTTTACCTACACAAAGCTACCTGCTGATCAATATGATTTGGTTGAAGTTGCTTTGAATCTGAATTTTAAATGTAGAAATCTCCTTCTGCATTTACTTACTAACAACAGTTTCTAAGGGATCCATCTACTTTTGTACTTTTTTTTCTTTTTGGTTTTTTTTTTTTTTTTTTTTGAGACAGGGTCTCCCTGTAGCCCCAGCTGTCCTGGAACTCACTATGTAGACCAGGCTGGCCTTGAACTCACAGGGATCCACCTGCCTCTGCCTCCTGAGTGCTGGGATTAAGGGTGTGCGCCACCACGCCCGGCCTACTTTTGTATTTTTAAGATCATTTTAAATTCAGTGTTGCTTAAGAGTAGAAAGCTACATTGAACTGGGCTGTATGTTCTGGAAGGAGCAAGTCTTATTAATGGATCACAGATTCTCAGGGATACAGCACAGCAACTGAGTATAATCTGTCTAAACAGGCCATGGCTCTTACAAAAGCTGCTACATGAATATTTTTAAAGTATAACTGCTATAGGCAAGCACAATGTATGGTGTGACTGATAACACCACAGTTCATTCATCTGATGCCTGATGAATTAGAATTCTTGTTTAAAATACTTTCTCCTATGGACTGGAGAGATGGCTCAGTGGTTAAAAGCACTGACTGCTCTTGTAGAGGACCTGGGTTTGGTTCCCAGCACCCACATGGCAGCTGACAACTGTCCATAACTCCAGTTCCAGGGTATCCAATGCCATCTTCTGGCCTCTACAGGCATTGCATGTACAGGTGCACTTAAATGCATGCAAGCAAAATACTCATACACATAAAATAACAATAAATAAATCTTAAATAAATTAAATACTTTCTCCTATTATTTCTTAATTAAGGCTAACACCCATTACTATGTGGGAATAAACTAGTTATGTGAATATTTCCAAGCAAAGCCTTGAGGGGATAGGATTCAGCCTTCAGAAAGAAAGGGAACCAGCTCCTTAAAAATCTTATATCCTACCCAGGCCTAAAACTGGCTTTTATGATCAACAGAGTTGCTTTGTCTGACCAGTGAGTGCTATGAGGCTGTATGGATGAATGAGGCCAGTAGGGAAGAAAGGCTGGAAAGAAGACAGAATAAGTTTCTCTGTTGATAGATTTTTGAAATACAACTAATATCACGGGTTTGAGGGTTGTATTTTAGCTTATGTCTATAACCATAGGAAACCTGAGAGAATTTGGTATACTTTGGCCTCAAACTGAACTCTTGAGATGCATGTGGGATAATTGGCTCTATTTATATTTTAATTAAGCCTTTTGAGACAATTGTAGATTCACATACAATTATGAGAAATACTGCAGAGATTTCTTGTATTCTTTACCAGATTTTATTGCCCTAATGGTAATATCTTGGAAAACTATAATACACTGCAACAAATATATTGACTTCAATGCTCACACACACACACATACACACACACAATTCTTACTGCTCTTGTATAATTGGCCTCCCTCCCACTCTATTCCTCCTTAATTCTGCAGCCACTGGTCTTATAATTCATTTCCATCATTCTGTTATTTCACGATTGTCGCATAAATGGAATCATGCAACATGAAATCCCTTGGCAATTGCATTTTTCAACTCAATGTAATTCTCCAGAAATTCATCCAAATTATTTCATGCGTACAATCAGTTCATTTTATTTCTGAGTAGTAGTCCATAAGATGTGTGGGCTTTTTGCTGCTGTTGTTTATATGTATTGATAGTGCCAAACATGATGTTTTAATATGCATGTAAGTTATGAAATGGTTAAGTCAAACTAATATGTGCATTACTTCACATGTTGATTTTTATTATTAGAATGTTTAAAATATACTCCTGACAATTCTTAAGGCTATAATACACTACTGGTAATCGTAGCTGCTGTGGTATACAGTAGATCTCCTGAACTCATTCTTGTTATCTGAATGGCATTTTGAATCTTTTGACCAACATCTCCGTAGTCCTCCTCCCTCAAAGTTCCTGGAAACCACAATCTGCTATCTGCTTCTATGAGTTCAATGTTTTAAGATCCCTTGTCTAAATGAATTTGTGCTGCATTTGCCTTTCTGTGCCTGGCTCCTTAAAATGACAGAATGTTCTTCTTTTTAAAGACCATGTAGTATTCAATTCTATACATGTACCACATTGTTATTATCTATTCACTATTGGTAGACACTTAGGTTGATTCCTCTTTTGGCTGTTGTAAATAATGCTGTGATAACATAAGGTGCTGCTATTTCCTTGACAGACCAGTTTTACTTCCATCAACTCTGTGTCCAGAAATGAGATTGCTTCATACGCAGTATTTCTGCTTTTAATTTTGGGAGGAACTTCTCTACTATTTTTGTATTAGTAAAGATTTTTAGATTATTTATTTAATGACCACATGATTAGAAGAAGCATTTCATTACAGCTTTAACATATTCAATAACAATTTCCAGAGCAAAGATGCATCTGTTTCATCATTGGCTGTAAATTTTTAGGTTCACAGTTGAATTAATACAGTTATACAACATTGAACTCAGTATAAACCCTATAACACATAAAATTGAATGAGGTTTTCACCTTTAAAAAAGATCTCCATTTCATTTTAAAATGTACTGTTTCATACAGAAAAACTCATTTTTTTCTATTTTATTTTATTTTTTGTTTTATGTGTATGAGTGTATTGCCTGCATGTATGTAAGCACACCTGTGTCATGCAATGCTGTGGAGGTC